CTCCTGGTTGGTGGGGGATCCATCTCTTGCTGCAGTGGCTGGCAAGAGCTTGATTGCGCTTTCTTTAACCCCTGCACCCCCAGGGAGGCCCTGTCTTTTCTGTCTGACCCTTTCTCTTTGGATTTCACGTCTGTGCAATCATTTATGTATGTATGTATGTATTTCCCTCATGGCTGCTGATTAGTTTGTTTCCCCAGACTTGGGGCTGACTTCCTAGGTGGTGTCCACCAAGGGGAAAATGAAATCACCATTCCTATGGCGGGTTATCAAATCACCAAGACAAAAATAGGGCGATAATTCAGCTTTCATTCCACTCTCCACCCCCCTACCCCCCCATACACACACAGGCCCTATGAACTTCGCTGACAATAACCACATTTTCCGTGCGGACTTTTGCGCGGGAGGCTCGCTCTGCCCGGAGTGCCCCCTGTGTCACCTCATTCACGTCATTGCCAAGTAATCGCTCCTCAGAGAGACCCCCCCAGGATCACTCTGTAATAGTACCCCCATAACCGCAATCTATTTTTCTGACCTTTCCTTCCTAATACCTGCTAGTCCCTGACATTTTCCCCTTGGGCCTGTCCGCTCTCCCCTTTCCTCTGAAGCTCAACAACCTCGCTTGCTTCTAGAATCCCTTCTTTTTTCTAGGAATTTTACTATTTTTTCCTCACCTCTTAAGTCAACAGAGGATATTTGCCTTAGTCATTCTCACTTGCTTTCCAACAAAGTGTTGGAGGGCAGGGTGAGGACACCCCATCACCCCCAAACCTGCCTGTTCTCAATAGGTTCTGCTGTCCAGTGCATTGAGACAAGACATCCGCTAGTGCGTGAGGCCTTTCGTGGAAAGGAAGTTTAATACAATTTGTGTGCAACGAAGAAAAGGGGATAAATGCGGTTTCCAAATCCAGCACCCAGGGTTCCCCGTCCCCCCCATGGGGAAAGGCCCACCCAGCCCAACAGGGTTGTCCCAAAGCAGGGCCACTGAAGCCCAAGAGCTGCCCCAAGTCAGAAAAGGGTCCAAGAGAGCCAGAACCCCCCACCCTGGGCACCAGGGCAGAGGTCACTCCGTCCATGACCCCCGGGGCCCCCTCCTGTGCTTCTGGGCTGGGCATCGTTTCCAAGCCCTGTGTTCACACTGGCAGGTGTGTGGGGTCTGCTCAGCTGTTGTCCATGGGGCCCACCCGCTGCTGCATTTCAGGCATTATGGAGTGTTCTCTCCTGGACCCCCTCACAGCACTCGGGCTCCTCTCCTGCGGCTCATTTGAATCTTCCTAGAATAAGGATGACCAAGTGTCTGCCCATGTCTACAGTGATGGGGTCTCTTCTCTGAAGTGACCACAGGGATCCTTTGCTCGCCATGTATCAGAGTCATTGGCTTCACTGCTCTTGTGTGTGAGTGTCTGTGTCAGTGCTGCAGATGAAGCCCTGGTTGGACACAGGGTGTGAGAACACTTTATCCCTTTCTGGGGGTTGCCCTTTGTGCGTGTGATTTTTTTAAAAAATTTATTTCTTTATGCATACCAGAACTGGGGGTGCAGACCAGAGGTGCAGGGAGGGGGTGGTGGTGAGAGGACTCACCAGAGAGTGAGTGGGGAGCAGAACAGGTGGATTACCTAAAATACACAGCTGAGGGGAGCAGCAGGGAAGCAAGAGAGGTCGACTGCACCAAGTGGGTTAGCTCCCTGGCCAGCAGGAGAAGCGAAGCACTGCAGTGGCTGGGGCGAGCTTCACAGTGCAGTCTTTAGCCCCTGCACCACCAGGGAGGCCTGCTTTTTAAGTTTGTGTGGATCTCACCTGTTTAGTTTCCCTTTGAACAAAGAGAGAAGGGAGGGGTGAAGCTAGACAATGTGCTCAATCAAGGGCGGCTGAGGGGGGGTGGTGTGCGGTGGAAAGTCTGCCCCCAGGTGCTTCTCAGCTGCAGGAGGCCAGGTTGTGGTCACCAAGATCTTGGCCTCTGTCTTATCAGCAAGGCCGGAGCTGAGCAGCTTCTGCGGTGTCTTGACCTGCACCGAGTCAGAAAAGGGTCCGAGAGAGCCAGAACCCCCACCCTGGGCCCGGGAGCAGAGGTCACTCCGTCCATGACCCCGGCGCCCCCTCCTGTGCTTCTAGGCTGGGCATCCTTGTTTCCAAGCCCCGGGTGTCCTTGGCCCCCAGCGGGGCGTTGTGGCCACACCTTCTGGCGCAGCCCTCCAGGAGCAATCTGGCCATGAGCTCAGGGTGGATTTGAAGACACCTCCTAAGGTTGGGCTCTGATCCCATGGGCTCTGACGAAGGGTGTTGGGGGGACTCTGACCTGGGGCAGGAAGCCAGAGCTGCAGCTCACAAGATGGCGGCCGAGCAGGCCGCTTGGGGTTCCCAGAACCCCTAGGCCACCGTCTGTGGTGGCCTGAGCTCGCCCACCTGCGTCTCTCATCCACGCTGACTGAATTTCAGACGTAGTGTCCAATGTATTCTTTCGTTTACCTTTATGATGGCTACTTTACTTAATAAAAATAGTGATTCTGCTTGCCAAGGGGACATGTTTTGTGTTTAAAGATGGATTCATTGATTACATGTATGTAATTATGATTACCAATTTAATTAAGTAAAGAACAGTTAACTCAATTATTTTGCAGTGTACAATAGGGTTCTCTTCCAAATCGGGTGTTTCCACTTTGTGTAGAATTTTGCATTCTTTTCCATTTGGTGTTAAGTGTCTCCATGATACCAAAGGGAGACCTCAGTTTCCCTCAGCCAATTAAAGGAAACAGAGTTTGAGGAAAAGAAAAGTGGTTGTTTTTGTCGACAAAGGAGGAGAAAGCAGACTCATGTCTGAAAGACCACCGTCCTGCTCTTTGGCAGAGGGCAGGGGTCCTTAGGCAAACGAAAAGAGGGGAAGATGCACAAGGGTCTGCTTATTCACACTTACCCACTATATGTTCAAAATGTGTGTGTGTGTATTTATATACACACAGCTCAGTATATACATATATATATATATATACACACACGTGTTCCAGTTATATATGATATCCAGCAACCTTTTATACTCTATACTTAAAATGGTTATTCATTTCCTTTCTTCAGAAACAAAAAATAGGGGCCTCCCTGGTGGCACAGGGGTTAAGACGCAACCTATGAAGCTGTTCACAGCCTCTGCAGCACAAGCTCGATTCCCCAGCTGGCCAGGGAGAAACCCACATGGTGCAGCAGACCTGTCCTGTCTCGCCTGCTGCTCCCCTCAGCAGTGTGTTTCAGTCAATCTGCCTTTTCTGTTCCCCACTCTGTCTCTGGTGAATCCTCTCACCCCTACACCTCTGGCCTGTACCCCAGCTCTTGTATGCATAAATAAAAAATTCCAAAAAAAAAAAAAAAAGAATAGGACAGAATAGAACGAAATTTCCAGATCAACTGGCCCACGTTGATCGTTATCCCCTGTGTCCTGCCAGACGGCACGTTGTCCTTTTCTGTCTCCTCCTAGAGCTCAGATGCTGATGATGGTAGCAGAGATTCTGCTATGGCAGCGAATGGTGAGGAGCAAGTTGTGGGGAGCAGGGAGCGGGGAGGGGCAGCTGAGATGTGTGTCCGAAACCTTGAAGAAAACCGCTGGAGGGACTGAAATGGCAAGCCGAGGCCAAGAAGAACCCTGGACTCTTGCTCTTCCCGCACAACATCAACCTGTCTACTCCTACCACCCGTCTGCAGGGACTGGGGAATTTGGGAATAGGGAGCTTTCCTTGTCAATGGAAAGAATCCTTCTGCTTTGGAAACAGGAATTCCGGAAGTGCTTGAGACACACCTGAGAATCCATGTGTCCAAAGGCTAGCCAGGCCTGGAGAGGGACTAATAGTTGGTGACAATCTCCAGGAGGATCCCAGGGAATGGGTCCATCCATCACCACAGATCCAGCCCAGGAAGACACTCTGTGTGTGTGTGTGTGTGTGTGTGTGTGTGTGTGTGAGAGAGAGAGAGAGAGAGAGAGAGAGAGGTGCCTCAGGTGAGAATCAGTTGTGATGGGTACGGTGGGATAACAGGTGGAGAAGTGATGTTGTGTATGTTGGAGAGACAAGCTGAGAAATGAGAAACCGCAGGAGTGTATGTGAGCTGGTGAGGAATAAAGTCATCAACGTGTGTGCACCTGTGATTGCACAGAATGAAGGGACTGATTGTGTGTGAGATCGTCTAGCAAGGGGAGGCCAAAACAAATTCTGTGTGTGTGTGTGTGTGTGTGTGTGTGATGTAGTTGAAACATGAAGTCATGATATGTTGGAGACCCCTAAGGAACAAAGTGCTGAGACAAAGAGACTATCAGGGTCATGGCTGGAAGACTGGGTGTGGCTAAAAGACTCATAACCCCGGGTGAGAAGACTGGCCCGTGGACAGATCAGGGGCAGACCCGTTGCCGGGACACGGGACCTGGACCCTATACCCCTTGGACCCTCTACCATCTGGACCCTCTAACCTCTGGACCCTCTACCCTCTGGACCCTCTACCCCTATCTATCATCTATCCACTTGACATTTATTAAGCAACTACTATATACCAGGTCACAGGAAAAACCCAAGACAAGCCACAGCAGACCTAGTCTGAATTTGAATCATTCATTTTGAGACCTTGCCACCCTCGTGTAAATAATAGGAATATTGCACATGCGTCATTTCCCTCTTTGGAAAAAAAAACCCAAAGGGGAGCCCCATAAGCACACAGAATCCAACACCAGGCAAAGCCAAATGAGCCACAAACTGACTGCACACAGACTCATTATCTCTTAATAAGCCAGTCGGGGCTTGAGCAACATCCTTGCAAAGCCGATTTGTTTGAAACAAACACGTCCTCTGGAAACACAACAATTCTGTTGGACCTAATTACGCAGAATCCACTTCAGGATCGGCCAGAGCTCAGAGCAGGCACACAGAAAAGACTCCCAGCCTCGATCCCAAAGCTCATCAAAGCCAACATTGACACAGGCAGAAAGGGTCACTTTAAAACTGGCCCCTCATAGGTTTTCTGCTGCACCTCCCCCTGCAGTGACCCTTAGGGCTAATGGCTTGCGCCACGGTCCCTAGGTCCGGCTGGGCAACCAGCGCGCAGGCGGAGAACAGCAAAACCCCCTGAAGATATACTTGCTGCACCTCCTCCTGCAGTGACCTCTAGGAATCCCTAGGTCCGGCTGGGCAACCAGCGCGCAGGAGGAGAACAGCAAAAAACCGCCTGAAGACATAGATAAGACGGAAGCCTGTTGAAAGATAACGACCACCAGAAGCCACTACAGGAATGCTGTCCGCTGGGAAACTTATCTCACCTTCTCTAGACCCACAAACTTTATTCTAATACAACTGTCTCTCTAAAATCTTTTCTCTTTCTCTGTTTAAAAGGTCATTGGTTTGCCGATTAAAAAAGAACATACAAAATCTAATAACTAGGCTGATTCAAATGAAACGTTACTAAACTCTGTGTATTAATAGAACTGCTAGCTTAATAATTTCTCTGTTGTATACTTAGCCTTGTTAGTATTAATCTAAATGATAAAAATATTACATTGTGAAAAGTAAAATTCACCTGTGTTAATTAATAGTAATAGTGAGTAGTTAAAACAAAAAGTAATCATATAAAACAAAAAGAAAAATTAATAGCCTAACTACTTAGGAATGCGCCTGGGTCCAGATGTAAATCACTGCCCTGTCAATGATAAGCTAAACCTATAAGCAAGCTGATTTCTTCACTGATGTTCGCCATTCCTATGCTTTTAGAAAACATATATATACTGGTCACCAACTCAAATAAAATTACACTCAGATTTTCACTCTTGAAGTGTGTCTGTTTGTCATTTCTTTAACCGAATCCCTGACCACCCTGCGCAGTCTCTCAACCCTGAGACGGCCTCATCGTCTACTGCTGTGCTGGTCCGCGGCAGGTGGCGCCTGAACGTGGGGCCCGAATTCAAATATTGCTGAGTTTTTCCACCCAAAGGAGAGGTGAGTAACGAAGAGATTGCGCTTGGGTAAGCTATCTCCCTTCTTGTGTGTGAGTGTGAATGTGATTCCCTTAAAAATACCCTCTTTTAAAAGTCAGGGATAGGATCCTCACTGAAGCGTCCGGAGCTTGCTGATAAAGGGTGATCAGTTTGAAATAGTGAGAAGTTTTTCTAAGAGTGAATGCTCGTGGTGCTGTGTGTGTGTGAGAGTGCATGAATACGGCTCCACGGCCTCGTAGCTACGGAGTCTGAGTGGGCTGCACCCGCGATTCCCGTGGAGGAAGTCATATGGCATAACGGTCATCTGCTCTTCGGAGTAGCCTGGTCCGGGACTTATACGGACAGACCTTAGCTAAGACGCCTCCGCAAGTTCCCGCGAGGGACACGGGCCGGACAGCACAGTTGAAAGAAATCTCTGCTTGAGTGAACGAAAGCACCACGAGACCATGGGTCAACAGCAGACCAAAAATAGAGATCTTTTTCTATCTATATTAAAAAATATGATTGAAACACGAGGTATTAAGGTAAATAAAAAAGCTCTACTGCAACTTTATGAATTCATATTACGGGTATGCCCGTGGTTTCCAGAAGAAGGCAGTCTGTCACTGGAAACTTGGAAGAAAGTAGAAAAAGAAGTGAGAGAGTTTTATGGCCTTCATGGACCGTCTCAGGTTCCAAAACAGGCTTTGTCTTTGTGGGTACAAATTAAAGATTTGCTGGTTGATGCCACTGAGGCAGAATTGTGGGAAGGCCAACAGGATGAAGTTCAGGATAATCCTAAAAACAATAATGATCTAAAGACGTCATTATTCGCTCAAGCCTCTGCTCCCGTATTGAAGGAATCCCTTTCCCAGTCAGAGGATGAGTTTAATGATCATGAATATACTGAAATGCTAGATAAATTGACTTTCAAAAATGATAAACCCTCCCGCCCACCCGCTAACCTTTTTCCAGTTGTTACCAAACCTAAAATTGCATTAGATAATAATACTAATCATATCAAGGCCCATCGAGGGCCGCTGGGTGGCATTCTAGGATCAGCAAGGGAGGCCAGTAAGATGGGAGATTTTTCATTTGCCTTTCCCGTGGCCGGACCTTCGACTTTGACTCGTGCTGATGACGATGGCCCTGCATGGGAGGCCATCCCTATAAAAACCCTAAAAAAATTACAGTTAGCTGTTCAGACAACAGGTCATAACTCCCCTTATACTTATCAAATTATTGACATGCTATCGGCCACCTGGATGACCCCTTATGATTGGCATAATCTTGCCAAGGCTGTACTTCCCTCGGGAATGTATGTATTATTTCGCATGGAATATGAGGACCAAGTACATGCCTTCTTTAAAAAATATGATGATGAGGTCAAGGCTGAGAAAATTTCCCTTTCTATGTTCATGGGAACAGACAAATATACTGAGGTACGCAGACAGACTGCCCTACCAAAAAATGTCTTAGTCAAAATTAATAAGTTGACTGGAAAAATCTTCCTTCACCTGAACATAAGCCTGCTAACCTTACTGATATACACCAATGCCAGGATGAAAGATACCAGGATTTTGTGGCCAGATTAAAAAATGCTCTGGATAAGGTTCTTCCATCTTCCAGAGTACAACATTTGTTGTTTAAACAACTTGCATGGAAAAATGCTAATTCCCTCTATAAAGAACTAATTAGACCTAAAAAAAAAAAAAAAAAAAAAAAAAAAAAATTCAAAAACTTATGGCTGTCTGTATCCCTAAATAACATCAAAGAGGACTCAGCTGACAGCCCCATATCAACAGAACAATTACCTAAACAGATAGGTCGTTTTTTTGCCTGGCTGGAGGCAAAATGAAAGATGCAAAACAAAAGGTAAAAGAGAAAATAGCCTGCAGTATTAGAAAAAGTGATCAGGATTCTTGAAATAGTTAAATTGTTTTTCAAAAGCCAAAAGTTAATTCTAGAGCCAATACTAACCTCTTTGCAGAGGCATCTGACTCCCAATTATAAAACCATTCCAAAATCCAGCCCAAATTTCCAGCTCGGTCTTGACTAAAATTGTTGAGATAAAAATAAAAACTCAAAAACAAATAAGAGATAATGTGACATGATCTTAAATGAAAAAAAAAAAAAAAAAAAAAAAAAAAAAAAAAAAAAAAAACTCCAATCTTTTCCTGTTAATTATTTGGGGAAGAGGCTAGGTTCCCCCTGGTGAAGTTTTGCCATTTGTTTCTTTAAAAATAAATAAATAAATAAATAAATAAGGCATTTATAAATAATAGTATTCAAAGTTCATTCACAATTGTTAAAGTGATAAAAAATGGTTAAATATGAGTGTATGAGACTATATGACTATAATATGACTAAAAGGTTTTTATTAAAATAGTATAAACCCACTGCAGTGGGCTGGTGGAGGCTGCCCTTGATCTCAACAAGCAGCTGCCTGGACTTTTTCTCCAGTGTTGGGATCACTGACAGGTCTCTACTACCTTCCTGCTGTGAAGGACTAAACTTTTCTATTATCCATCCACCTTAAATAACTATTTTGGTTCATTCTAAAAAAAAAAAAAAAAAAAAAAAAATTCCATTTCCCTGTGTTTCTCTGATTTTAAAGTCTAAATTGTCTTAGGCAAAAACTGCTGAGTTACTTTTGACCTGCTAACAAGCTATACAAAATGCTTATTGGTTAAATAAAAGCTTTTAATTTTACTTATTGGACCTGTAAAAAATTAAGTTTCTTGTTAAAACAAACTAACCTGGTAAAACATAAAGTAATAATACAGACATTTTTGAGCTAAATTCTAAACCTCAAATTTTACAGGCAGACTGTAAAAATTTATCTCTTCTCCTGTTTTCAAGATAACAGTGTTCTTTTATGTTTTAAAATATGACCGTTCCCAGTGAGATAATGTGTTAACAACCTAAAGCCAAAAAATCATTTCTTAAAAATGTAAACTCCAAAAATATTCTCTTATCAAAAATAATTAGTAAAAACTGCCATGACTGCTGTGGTCTCCAGCCCAAAGTCTTTGGTAATAATTAAAATTAAACACTTATTCTGTGTACAGATTTTAACTGTTAACTCATTAAAAACCTCAGTATCTTCATACATATTGGTAAAATAATTGTGTTTCAAAATATATGCACATGGCCAAAACTTTAAATGTATAAAAAAAAAAAAAAAAAAAAATCTCTGTATCTGTTTGTCTTTCTTTGTGTTTGTTTTGTTTTTTACCTCCGGAGGACTAGTTATAAACGGCGCCTATATAAGTTCTAATAAAAACAAATTTTGAGATCATAATCCAAATTTTTAATATATAAGAGCTAGTTCAAATTTTATGATATAATTCAAAGCATATATCCTTAAAGTTATAGTGTTAAATATTAATAATCTACTCTGTGTAAATGTATCTTTAAAGTTTTCTTTCCTTAACTAGAAATGTATATATATATATATATACTTATATATGTAATTTTTTTTGTCATATTAAAACCAAGCTATACTGTTTTTAAGTCAATTTTAAAAATCTGCAATGTTTTAAGTAGCATTTTGGGGTGGTGAACACACAAAGCACCTCCTTGTGTTCTGGAATACTGAAAGAAAACCAACATCATGATTTGTTGAAAGTTTTAGTGGTGTCTGAAAAAAAGAGGGAGAGCAATTGATAACTGATAGTAAGTAAAATAAAAAGAAAAGGGAAAGTAGTTTTGTCTTAAAATTAAAATATCTGGTTGTGCCAGAATGTGGAAGAATAAAGAAAAAGCTAAAATTGAGGGTATGTAGTAAGTTGTAGAAGGTTTGAGGGGAAGTGAATTTTATTTGCCTTGATTTATAAAACCTGCAAATAATGGGTTTGAAAAGAAACAATAATATGTGTTGGAAATTTGACTGTATTGCATTATTTAATCAATTTATTCACATAATAAAAAAGATTAATTAATACTAAAGCTTGCTTTCATGTGGCCACACAGGCCATTTCAGTAAAATTGTCAACACTGTAATACTAAACTAAGCCAGTATCTTCATAGAAATTTAATATTGTTGTTTCTGTTGTTTTTCTAATATTTATGGCAAAGCTTCCCGGAAATCTAAATTCAAGTACAAATTTGGTAGCCTGTCATTTGACTGATGCAAGGAAATTTTGTGGAACCTCAGTAGAGCTCCTGAGACACTCCACAAGTTTTCTCCCTTTCCTCTGGGAAAAGCCGTTAGATAAATTTGTTCGATTTGGTTTACCTAGTAAAGTAAAACTGGAAGGGAAGCATTGTCACTTGGGAAAATGGTAAAACTTTGGCATGTACAAAAATGTTAACATTGGTTTTCTAAAACAAAATCTTTCAATACCTAATATGTATGTAAATTGTCAATAATTATTGTTGCCTTGCAATATTATATACTTCAATGGTTTAATGTCTGCAGGACTTGTTTCTACACAAAAAAAAAAAAAAAAAAGGCCTCAATTGATTCAAAATGATAAACTTTTGAGAGTAAAAATTTTCTACAAAGAACTGTATAGACTGTTGAAAATACACCTGATTTTTACTGTTTTGTTTGACATAACATTGAAAATGTTTTTACGTTTTGCCTTGATTCAACAAAATTTTCTTGTTTTGACTGACCAGACTCTACAGCAATGTTATATATATATATTTTTTTTTTCTTTTTCTAGCAGAGCTAACCTTTTGTGTGGCTTTGAGTACAATTCTTCCAGGGAGTAACATAGAGCTAAACTAAAATGTGGAGAAACTACTGCTTTGTTCGTAGGGTTCCAGAGACCTCTGAAAATGATGAGGAAGCTTGCCTCCATTGGCAGGACTGAATAACCCGGTTCCCTGGACAGAAAGCTCTGTCATGAAGCCTGAACTCTTTCGTCTTTTCACTGCCTTTGATGATGTACACTTCAAACAACCTGGACAGGACACCGCTAAGATCCCAGTGCGTGCCTGCGTTGGATACCCCTTTGCTCTGCTCCTGGGAAATGCTTCATCCACACGTATCCAATCCCGTGGGAACTCTTATTCTGTCCAATGTTCCGGTTGTGTGGTTACTAATTGTATTACCCCCTCTCTTGCTCGTCTATATCCTGTGGTGGTCTTGCTCAAAAGACCCCCCTATGTTATGTTACCTGTTGATTTACATGATATGCCTTGGTATGATAATACTGCCATGCAAATCTTGGATGAGGTGCATGCTCTTCTTCGTCCTAAACGTTTTATTGTTGCTCTTATTCTTGGTATTGCTGCATTAATTTCCTTAGTTACCTCTTTAGCTGCTTCCTCTGTTGCTTTAATTCAGGAAGCTAAGACAGCTTCTTTTGTAAATGACCTTACCAAAAATGTGTCCATGGCGCTCTCTACACAGCGGGACATTGACTACAAGTTGAAAAGAAAGTTAAATGCTCTGGAAGAAATTGTTATTGCTATTGGCGATGAGGTTCAACTCCTCAAACAACAACTGTCTACTCGATGCCATGCTCAGTTTCGTTTCATTTGCGTTACGCCTCTGCATTATAACTCTTCCTTCCATTGAAATCTTACCAAACATCACCTATTGGGTATCTGGCGTAACAATGACCTTTCTCATGACCTCTCGTCTCTCCAATCTGAAATCTCTGCTGTCAGTAAATCTCATCTGGATACTTCAGTCTCTTCCTTTGCCCATTCTCTAGCTTCTACTCTCCAATCTTTGACTCCTACTCACTGGTATCATCTTGTTCTTTCCTTCATTGCTCTTTCCCTACTTGTCCTTCTCCTTTGTCTTTTAACTCCCCTCTGTGTCCGCTCACTTCACAGGTCGATCTACCGCCTTCAACGTGACATGTACGCCTACCAACTCCGTTTTAAAAAAAAAACAAAGGAGGACCTGCTGCACCTCCCCCTGCAGTGACCCTTAGGGCTAATGGCTTGCGCCACGGTCCCTAGGTCCGGCTGGGCAACCAGCGCGCAGGCGGAGAACAGCAAAACCCCCTGAAGATATACTTGCTGCACCTCCTCCTGCAGTGACCTCTAGGAATCCCTAGGTCCGGCTGGGCAACCAGCGCGCAGGAGGAGAACAGCAAAAAACCGCCTGAAGACATAGATAAGACGGAAGCCTGTTGAAAGATAACGACCACCAGAAGCCACTACAGGAATGCTGTCCGCTGGGAAACTTATCTCACCTTCTCTAGACCCACAAACTTTATTCTAATACAACTGTCTCTCTAAAATCTTTTCTCTTTCTCTGTTTAAAAGGTCATTGGTTTGCCGATTAAAAAAGAACATACAAAATCTAATAACTAGGCTGATTCAAATGAAACGTTACTAAACTCTGTGTATTAATAGAACTGCTAGCTTAATAATTTCTCTGTTGTATACTTAGCCTTGTTAGTATTAATCTAAATGATAAAAATATTACATTGTGAAAAGTAAAATTCACCTGTGTTAATTAATAGTAATAGTGAGTAGTTAAAACAAAAAGTAATCATATAAAACAAAAAGAAAAATTAATAGCCTAACTACTTAGGAATGCGCCTGGGTCCAGATGTAAATCACTGCCCTGTCAATGATAAGCTAAACCTATAAGCAAGCTGATTTCTTCACTGATGTTCGCCATTCCTATGCTTTTAGAAAACATATATATACTGGTCACCAACTCAAATAAAATTACACTCAGATTTTCACTCTTGAAGTGTGTCTGTTTGTCATTTCTTTAACCGAATCCCTGACCACCCTGCGCAGTCTCTCAACCCTGAGACGGCCTCATCGTCTACTGCTGTGCTGGTCCGCGGCAGTTTTCTCCAATGCCTTCTCATTCAACTACTTTATTAGCCTGAAAACCACAGCTTTGGAACCATCCTAATTTTGCTTCTTCCTGCCTGACTGGTGACTCTCCTGAAGTTCAAATAAGCCAAAATTTAAGAGTGTGTGGGTGGACGGTGGAGTGATGGGGAATGAAAGTTCAAGAAAAAATAGCCTGCCTGACATTTTCTCTCAGGACAGTCATTTGTTCTGCTATTAAAGCTCCCTCTCTCATCATTCTCAGTGAATGTCAGTTTGAATATTCAACTTTTCATCTGCCTTCATTTCCAGCTGATGCCTCTTCCTGCCTGCAGAGCAGGAATTTTGAAAGGTTAGAGGCAAACAGCCTCAAAATCACTGCCTCTAAGGGCTTGGAACCCAGGCTGCATCTTCTTCTTCATCATCTCTTTGGGCAATTGGTCCGTGTCCCCTGGCAGCTGAACCTCACTTGTGAGCACCCCAATGGGCACTTTCATTTTTTTTTCATTTTTTAGCAAACATGACATTTTGAACTTGAAACTGGGGTATTAATAAAGTCTGCGTGTGGAATGGAGATCTGAATGACCTGAAATTTACAGACTCAATCTGAACAGTGGTTGTGCCTGCAGCTATTTGCTGCTGTCAATCTTAGGGTGCCACACAGCATCTTATGAAGGGTGGGGGCTGAGAAAATCTAGATGGAACCCTATTTCAGGTCTGGCATAGAGCTTCAAGATATTTTTGCATTTTGTTTTGTTGGATGTGGCAGCCCAGAGTGGTAGAAATTCCACTTGGGGTTGAAATGGTTGAAATCCTGGCATGCTCATTAACTAGCTGTGTGACTTTGGGCCAGTTTCTTTAATCCATCCAGAGCTCAGTGAATTCATCTGTAAGCAGATTGGGGTGATGCCTGCCCCATGAGGGGACGTATGAGAAATCTAAAGCAGACCATGTGGGATGCCTAGCCAGCTCCTGACAACAGGCAGCCCATCAAGCCAAGTTTATTCCTCCCTCCCATCCTTGTCCTCTCCCTCAGAGTCTAGAGGGGTCAGAACAGGGTCCTCAGAAAAGCCAGTCACTGCTCATAAGAGTTCCTTTCCCAAAGTTTTGTCCCTGCATAGTTCAACAATCAAAGACTCCTTTGTTGCTTAACAAAGAAAATTTTATGGCTTAACCTGAGGTTACAGCAAGTTCAATATCAGTCCCTTACTTTACATCAAGAGAGACAAAGACATGGAAATCTTAGTTCCTTTGGGGAACACACAATCCACACCTGCAAACAGACTGATTCATTGGTTTTTAAAAACTTGAGGGATTTTTTTTTTCGGCTCAATAAATGAACACATATTTTTCTCCCATGAAAAGAGCTCATATACACTGCTCAGACCTGGCCAGCATCCATCCAAACAGTGATTGGTATTTATTTTTTTAGGACACAATTACAGTTTACCCTTTTTTTTTTAAAAAAAAAAAACTCCCTCCCAACAACTTTTTTTTTTTTAAGATTTATTTATTTACTTACTTATACAAGCACTGTGTACAGTCAGAAGCGCGGGAGGGCGAAAGAATTCACCAGAGCCAGAGCGGGGAGCAGAGCAGGCAGAAGGACCGAGGTACACTGCTGAGGGGAGCAGCGGGCGGCAGGAGAGGTCTGCGCGCCATGTGGGACCCTCCTCCGGTGGCCAGGGACAGCCGGGGATTGAACCAGGGAAGCCCACAGTTTACCCTTAAGAAAAAGAAGTTCCTTGGGCCTCCCCTGGTGGCGCAGCGGTTGAGCGCTGGGTTGCAAAGCTGCCCGCAGCCTCTGCAGCTCCGGTTTGATCCCCGGCTGCCGGGGAGGATCCCACATGGCGTGCAGACCTCTCCTGCTGCCCGCTGCTCCCCTCAGCAGTGTATTTCATCGGTCTGCCTGTTCTGTTCCCCGCTCTGGCTCTGGTGAATTCTCTTACCCTCCCGCGCTTCTGACTGTACCCAGTGCTTGTATAAATAAATAAATAAATCTTCAAAAAAAGAAAAGAAAAAGAAGTTCCAGAATTTCTGAAAGCCTTTCTTACATCATGCATAAAATCTTAAACCGGATGCACCATGGATTACCCAGGACCCCCACTTCCCATGCAAAATAACCCCCATTAGACAGTCCTCTGCCTAAAATTCCTCCATTATGGATCTAATCATTTGCGGTAAGCATTACCTTTCATTTGGCTCCTGGGGTGTTAGGGAGCCTACTAGCTGCTAATGACAAAGTAGCCAGAGTAAATTTCACGAATTTAAGCATGCGATAAATGTAAGAATTAATTGTTCTCATCCCAAAATAGTTTCAGACCCCTCAGTTCTAAATCCTTCCCGGACTTGCCTCCACCTTTCTGTGTTTCTGGGAGGATTGGGAGTGGTGGGGCTCGATGTGCCAGGTAGTTGGCTTCTTATTCCAATCAGACTTGGGTAAGAAGTAGGCCCCGACTCTTGGGCATCTACCTCTTTTGCCTGATCCAATCCTCTGTGACAGGCCCTACGTGGATTGACGTCCTCCCTCAGGCGAGCTAGAGATTGTAAAGGACACTTTAGAGTGTGTGTGTTCCAATAAGAATCTCGACTCTGAAATTCAAAAGCAGAGGACTGGGGCCCAGGATGTGGACCCGTATGTGTGTGTTCTCTGGGGTCTCACCACCTCTCAAAGCCCTACCAGGAAAACTGGGCATAGATAGCACCCTGCACCCTCAGATGCCACAGGTCTGTTAGGGCCTCAGCAGGGTTCATTCTCCTCACCCTGAGACCACCAACAGGTACTTGTGTGTATTGGGCCTGGTGTCTCAAAGAGCTGTTTACTGTTGGGATAACCCAACCACTCACAAAGAGCTGTTAACACTGGGTGTCTCTGACACTGCCTCTGTGGGACCAGTCGTGGCCATCACTACTGGCCAGTGCTGTCCAATATTCCTGGTGACCAGTGGCAACCATCACTGATGCTCTCTGGGTGAGGCAGCCACTACTTGTGGATCCAGTGAGCTCTTTATTTCCCCTGTTCGTAAAATAAACCCCATGGTTGTTCCTGGAGTTTAAAGTCTTTTGCAATTGTGAGCACAGGTGAGAACACACAGTGACCTATCCTCTTAGGCTATAGCTCTTGGTTTTGGTTTTTGGCCTTTTGGTGGACACAGAGATGGGCTGCTTAGTGTGGAGAGGCAAAGAATGGTTTGTGCCTAAGCAAACTGAGTCATGCTATATGCCCTTTGTGATCACATCATATACGGACAACCCTGAGACAATGAGGACCTCTGACTCAGATGAGGCGGTCCCTGGCGCATGGCACACTCACCACATACAGAACCACTGCAGTTTTAAACATAAAAGTACCTTCCTCTATTAAGTAGCTACGGCGACAGCACCGGTCTCAGTCAATAGAACTAAACTCATCTCCAGTACATAAAGCTGCACAAATAGGGGCAGCTGAGCTTCAATAAGGCCTGATGTGACCCTCATTCAGACATTACCATGTTCAAGTGTGAGTCAATTGCGTGTCGCCTCTCTCTGTCCCAAATAACATTGCTCATGGCTCTGCCCTGTGTGCTGACTGCAGGGCCTCCTTCTGTTTTCTTTAGATAAGTAAACACTGTTTGATTTACCCAAGTAATGTCTGTGTCTGGATTTTCCTTTAATCCAAGTCCACTATTGACATTTGTCTATATGGTATAGTGCTTTGCAATTTTCCATTAACTGAAGGGCTTATGTTTTGAAATGTAAAAGCCAGAAGGTAAAATGCTTTTTTTCCTTGCAGTTTTGCTGTCATCTGTTATCCAGAAAGAACTCTGAGGGCCTAATTCCCTCAGAGTTGAAGGTGGGAAGGGAAAGGGACATGTCATAGTTGCTTTAATTTTTTTTTTGATTTTGTAACATGACATACATTCATTTCACAAAACAAAATGTACAGCTCCAGTGTGAGCACCCCTGTAGTTACCACCGAAGGCGAGAAAGAGAACATGGCAAGATCCCAGAGAACTGATGGTTGTGTGGAGCGTCTAGGCAGATGGAGTCCCACAGCATTTCTCAATCCCCTCATGCGACCTCAGGATGATTGACAGGAGCCTGGGAGGAGCAGGAGTAGAAAGAGCCTTTTGCTCACCCGTGGCTGTAGATGGGACAACGGCCATCTAATTATGGCCCTAGAAGACCCTTGTGCACCGGTATATTGCTAACACCGTCCTGCCCTGCAGACGCCACCTCCATGCTGACAGAGGGATTTGGGCTGTGCCAACTTAGCCCAGCTGGAACCAGGCCTCCTGGGATCCCTGAGGTACCTATAGAGTAACTCAATGAGAGGTGTCTCCTCCCCCTTCCCCATTTATTTTTTTAAACCAGATTTGGAAGGCAGAAGTACAGCTATTACTTTCTGAAGGTTGTCATGGTCGTATGTGCTGAGATGTATAGGGCCTGCAGACTCAGCTTGCCCTCACTTCCCAGACTGGCTGAGCCAACAGCACCCCATCTCACAACTAGTCAGTTCCAAACTCTCAGATATGGCAGCTCCAGAGGCACTAACCTTGTCTAGGCCTCCTCTCTCCAGCAGTCCCAGGCCAGCAGCTGCGCTTGCCTGCTTTGGCTCTCCTGGAAAGCTCTGAACGTCTACGCCATGCCAAACAGCACTTCAGGGAGTTGATTAATAGCTTTTCTGTCTCTGCCAACTCCCCTTTCTGAACCCCTACCTCTCCAGATTCTCCCACAACTACATAAGGTCTGATTCCCTAGTAAATCCAGCATCCACAGTAGTCATAGGTTTCCCCTTTCCTTCTGGAATGCTGACTGATACACAGATGTACATGGTAATCACTTTCTTGATTTTTTTATAATGTTGTTATCAAGTAAGCATGCTTTGCTAAACACTATCATTTAGTTTTACTTTTTTTAAAAAAACAATATGAGTGGAATCATTCAGTGTTTGATTTTGTGTCCAGCTTTATTTACTCAACATATGTCTGCAAGATTCATCCACATTGTTGCACGAAGCTGTAG